TGTGTCAGCAGCATTTTTTGACCAGTTATCTTATGTCTCCCTGTGTAAGGATAGGCTGAGAATTATTGTCCTTTCTCTCAAGTGCCTCCTTAAGGTTTGCTTCTCATTTCTGTGAAAAATGAAAGAAGAAAAGAAAAAAGCCCCAACAGCATCAAACTGTATTAGTTACATTTCTTAACTCCACTGCAGTAGGTTTGTCTTACTGGAGTTCCACTTTTTAATTCTCTATTGTGCTCCTGTGTTCTCGTCTCCCCTATAATATTCCCTCTGTCTTGTTTTCCCTTTGCAGTGGTGGGCTCAGTTGAAGCTGTTTTTATGCCCTAGAAACTTGTGCCAAGATACATTATTGTGTGCTCTGGGGTATGTACTGCCTCTCTCAAGGCAACCAAAGCTTATGAAATTGCCACCCTAACACCAATCAAAACCTTCTCTCTGAGAATTAACTGAATGTCCTGTGAAGGCACCAGACAAGCTGCAGTCAACATAAAACTTCAATTGAGGCATAATGCTTCAAAAAGGGGTGGGGGAAGAAGCACCTTATAGATAATCAACAACACATCAGACTTTACAGGAGAGACAAATAAGTAGGTATAAGTTGCAATCAGCTACCACCACTTTCCTTTTTTCCTTGTATGTCCCTTAGTTGTGCAGCTCAGCACTGTGTTTGCAGAGGTTTATACATTCTGACAAATTCTGGTTGCTACCTTAAGAGCACATATTCCCCAGGGAAACTCATTTCACATCTCATCAGTTACAGCAATGAGATGGGGAAACTGATTTCTTGTTTCTCTGAGATGTGCGCATGCTGGCTGGACAGCACAGCCACAGCTGATCTCAGTCCTGGCCTGAGTTCCCCTACACTTTCTCTGTGCTGAGTAATCTCCAGGTTTAGAGCCTGTGCCTTTTTAAAGAGAAGCTCCAGGCTTTTTTAAGGAAATGAACTGCAGTGGCAAACACATTTTTATATCAGGTCCGCTTTAGAAAGTTAGACAGCCGTAGGGCTGAGCTTTGATTAAGGTGTGCTGCATGCATCCACTTCCATGTATTGCTTTGTCTTTCCCTTGCACAGAGCATTGCAACATAACTCAGTATCACTCATGGCAGACGATGCCTGAGAGATGTTTGCAGACACTGCCAGGACTTGGCCTGTTTGGTTTGAAGGGTTCGTGACACTATGTGGTAAGTCATGAGTATTTGTCCAGAGTATTTGCTCTGCTCCAAAGCAAACCCAGAAGCCACGGAGAACCACAGAGCATCACAAGACTCCTGCAAGGAAAAAAAAAAATAACCTACCAATAAAACGATCTGTTTACCCAAGTTATGACCCCATTCATTTCTAAAAAACTGCTGAGTATTTTGGTAAAGTCATGGCAAACTTCCAGGCTATAAAAAAGACCAAAGATCTCATGATTAACATCTCCCAGGGCAATAAAGAAAAAGCTACCCCTTATTGTGACCATCTCATATTCTCATTTCCCCTGCTTTTGCATCACTTCCTACAGCCAGACATGATAGAAAAGAACTGTATATTCCATTCAGGGAACTGGAGCAGCACTCTCAGCTCAGGAAAATTAAAGGCTCCACATGACAGCTATTAGTCCTGAGAGGCTAGGCTAGGAGAGAGTGCTCAGTGATTACAGTGGGAAGCTTTGAACAGGAACTGAGAGGGAACTAAAAAGCATTAAGTACGTAAGGAGAAGATAACCCTGAAATTCCTCTGACTAGAAGCCTCTCTTTCAAGAAACACCCTGGACTTTAAGGTCCCCACAGCTGCCAACACACAGCTACTGCAGCACTTGCCACAAAGCCAAAAAGAAGCCTATTGCTTCTGGAAAATTTGCCTGTCTTTCTTGCACAGAAATACTGGGTAGCTCACAAGTGCCAGGGAATTTTTAAATGATCTCCAGAGACATTTTTACTTTTGAGAACAAGCATATCCATATACAGGACACAAAGCTCTTGCAGGTTTAGGAGCTCAGCAGATGAAGCTCCAGGATAGAGGTTAGGAAAAATCAGATTGGCAAGAGAAGGGGTCTGGGGTCTGCAGGACTCAGTTTCAGCTACTTCAAACACTTTCTTTGCTCCACCATCTAATATTTCCTTCTGGTGTCTTCTGTAAATCAAATTAACTGAGACTTGTGTTTGAATCTGGCCTGCAGCAGAAGGCTGAGCTTTTTAACCAAATTAATGGTGCTGGGGATTTCATCAAGTGTAAAGCTCCATCCTTCGTTATGCAAGTAAAGGCTCTTTGGATAAGGTTAGTGGGTTTCAAATTGGCTTTTAAGAGAGTAAACTGGCTCTATGGTTCTAAAAGTGGCATGTGCCTTATCCACCTGGTATTTAAGTAAAATTAAAGTGTCAAAGGAGAATAAGAATAAAACTGATTAACTGTGTGTGGCTAATAATAATAATAAAGTGGAAAACATTTTGGATTAAAATTAATGGACACATCTTTAGTATGTCATACATGAATTTATCTGCATGACTTCTACTCACGTTAATGTGAGACACTTGGCTAAATATCTGCTCAGTGAGCTGTTAATTCATCCCTAAGGGATAAAATTTAAATTTAAACTTACAAAGGCCATTTAATGTTAAAGATGAAACACTGTCTTGAATTCATATGGTTTTCAGAGTAGAAATGAGTAGGAAAATAAATTAGCAGTGATATATTTGTGTGAATGTAGAATTTCCTGAATTTAGTGATTAATTTGGGGCAGTTGTAAGTCATGACATCCTGATCCTGGGTAGTGTGATATTCTGGTATTCCAGCACTACCTGTTTCCAAACACCTGAAAAAAGGAAGTGCTTCACAACATATTTATAATCAGCATTTTAATTTCTAGCTATTGTCAACAGTTCACTCAATTTCTGATACAGCTGTAACCCAGGGTTCCTTAGTTTATATTTGACTTCTAGTTCTTTCAGAAATCTTTTGACTTATGCACAACTCATATTTAAGTGTTGAAATTCCATAGATTTACTGTGGAAAAAAAAACCCCGAATTCCTTTTTATAATTTTAATTTAGTTCCTTTCCGGTCTCTCTCCTGTTCTTTTCTTAACAAAAAGATTACTTAGGAAGGTCTAATCTTCCTTTAGCTACTATTCATTATTTCCTATCTTTCACTGTGTCCTCTCTTTAGCTCTTTTTTTCCTAAATGAAATGATCCAAAACTTTTGAGCCACTGTCCTTAAAGTGTATCTTCCCCTACATCTCTCATGATGCTTCTCTTCATTTTTTCTAGTCCTGCCTTTTTCCTTTTGAGCACCAATGGACAAGTCCCCCACAAATTTATCCAGACCACAATATTTACTGTGTTATTACCCCTTCATCTCCATTCCTGCAGAAGACTGTCACTTGTCTTTTTCTTATCACTGCACTAAACTGTTTTCCTGAAGCTCTTCACAGTGATTCATTGCTTGACCTTTAGCCCAATTTCCACCCCTTATTTCTTCTTCCTCCCCTCACACACCCAGTATTATATGAATAAATAGTTGAGACCACTCATCTTAATGCTTGCTGCTTTTCTAACCTGCACTTATAAGCAGTTACAAAGACCTTCTGGAATTCCTCACAGCTTTCTCTACTGTTCAAGTATGTTATCTCCTGTGCCACCTGTCATTTTTGCCACCTCTCTGTTCACCTCCCTCCAGATTGAACAGACATGAAATAATAATCTTTGTTCTGGGGGCACCCTCAGATAGCCCTTTCCCATTTAGAAAATTGCTTGTCTCTTCCACCTCGTTGCTCTTTATCTCTTAACCAGCTTCTAATCCATGTCTGATCTTGTCTGGCTGACTGTTTGCTCTCTGCAGGAGGTGCCAGTCCTTTTAGCATTCTTGTGCAATATTGTGGTGCTGTATAAATATTTATTCATATATAAGGCATTCTGAGTTAATTTTATCAGCTCATAGTCATGTAGGTGCTTTATACTATTAATTTTTTTTCCAATTAACTTTTCTACCACTGCGATAAGGCTTTCTGCTCTGTAATTACCAGGGTCATCCCCTGCATCTTGTTTAAAATTAGAGAAAATATTAACTGTTCTCCAGTCCTAGCATGTGGAGTATGCTGTATTCTGCAGTTATGTGTGAGAAAATATCTCTTACGTTTGAAAAGAGTTAACTACACTGCTCTGGCCTTCAATTGCAGCCCCAGGGTCTCTCAAGATAATGCCTTAATGTTATGAGCCTACATCGCATCCAGTTTTGAAGTTCATGAAGTTCATTTTCACTTGGGCCTTAAGCCAAGGCTCTTACAAGAGATATGTGTCAGAAGTAAGTCAGCATGGCATACAGCTATCCTACCTTCCAACAACTGGAAGGCAACTACCAAATAACTTTCCTAGATATGCTCACTTTAGAGAACATTGCTCATGTCTTGATCTGAAAATACTGTGTAAGTGGAAAGAATACAAAATGCTCTTTCATTGTGTTTTTCCTCTCTAAATGCATCCTGAATGGATTAAAATAATGGCCATTGTTCCTATGCAAAAATTTTGCCTTCCTGAAAAATTGCTGAGTGAGGAAAAAAAGCTAAGGCTGAATGATTCTGCTGCCTCCTATAAGTAATAAATCTGGAAGGGAATAGAGTTTACAAGGGACTTAATTGTAATTTCCAAGTATGAGCATAAGTTTAAAGCAAGAGGAAATGAAGTCAAATATCTCAAGGAACCTACGTCTCTGTGTTACTAAAAAGAGTATTTCCAGTGGTATATACATTTACTTTGTATTAGGCCTTGACTGGGAAAAATCAGTCCAACATAAGGCTCATTCTTGAAACAAAGTTCACTAGGATGCTGTGGTGGCACCCACTCAGAGGTGGCAAAAGTTCTGTCCAACTTCTTTTAAGTTAACTTACACATAAATACTGCCAACATTCCTTTCTCTCACACACATCATCTATTAACAAGCAGCACAAACAGCTCTGAGAAAAGACTTCAGAATCCATGGAAGCAATAAATACCCAAAAGAAGTAACAAAGAAAGAATGAAAATACCTCATGATACTTTTTCACTGTTTTCCCTGACACACAGGTGCAGGATTTCCAGTTTGCAGTCCCACAGCCACAGTTTCCGCCACAGCGCTGGACAAGGAGGCAGCGGGGGAAGAAAACGACGTTTGTCAGCTTCAGCTCCTCCCTTAAATTGACAGAGTAGTTCCTTGGAGTGCAGCTGTAACGCTTCACATCATCATTCAACCTGTCCAGGTCAACTGCAATGCAAAAGAAGTTTTATTAGTGAGGTTAGTGTGGGACATTCCTCTGGTTGATGCTGCTCCCTGGGCAGTCAATAACACAGAGTGATGGGGTGCACATTGAAAAATATGTGAACTATAGGAGTGATTTCTGAACAGATAAACATAAACCTACCAATTTTAAATCATTACAGGTGGCCATCCAGGCTGTCATCCTTCTCCCACTGACTGCCACAGCACAGATCACACCAACTATAAAGATCCAGGGAAGGTTTGCAGTAAAATACTGGCCTGAAAGCTGAAGACTGGTCATTTTATTTGCTTTGTCACTCCACATTGGATCCTTGGGCAAGAGATTCCACCTCTGCCACTCTCTTCCCTTCTCTGTTTATACCCGGCTTACTTAGATGCTAAGATCTATTTTTTTATTATGGGCAAAAACAAGGCACTTCCTGTGGTCACTAGAGAAACATTTTTGGGGAGTGATTCATCTCTTCCAATGCAAGAGCATTTAGGACAGCCTGCAAAACTTTCTTCCTCAAGTTGCCTGTCTATACTGTTTATGAACAGAATTTAGATAATTCATTTTTAGATGGAGAGAAACCAATCTAAGCAGCATTAATTTCATCTGGTAAATGTCACTATAATAGGCATACAAATAAATATAAAATTAATAGACCCACTGAATGCCAGTAGTTGGTTTATGTTTAAATGCCTAGTATGTGAGATCTGTCATATAAACAAGTGGTAAAGCCAGCCATAAAAATAACTTATAGACTATCAAATGTGAGTTTAAATGCTGTTTCTAGTTTTAGCTTGCAAAGCTAAAACAAAACCAAAACCCGCTTTTATAAATATATTTGCCACAATTGTGAAACAGACCAAAGTAACAAATTTAATGAGTTCTATTTCTACGGAAATTAATTTCCTTTTCCTTCCTTTCCTTAGTCCACCAACTAAGTGTTCAAAGCTCAGTAATTCATTCAGGAGTGGGGGGCATGTGAACTTGTGTTGAGTTCGACTCCAAACAGTATTTGCTAACAGAAGCATCAGCAAGAAAATAGGGATGGCCCAAATGAGAATTCAGGTAACAGTCTAGAGTTTGTGAACACATCAGATTTTCAGGGCATGTTCAACAGATAACGTCTGGTTCTGAGAACACTTATGCTTGTGCTTCACTACAAATATGTGAAAACTTACAACAAAGACACTTCATACTTTCTGTGACTCCTCAGGCCTTGTCAACATCACTAAGTTAATCGTAGAAAAAGCTGTTGATTTGTAAACATTATGCACCTTTACATTCTAACCTGGAAATAATCACAAGGCTGATATGCAAGAGACAAGGGTACATAAATATCATAAGTGCTATTATAGAAAATCGTAGCAGATTCACTTTCCTGACAATGTGTTGTCTCAGTCAATGGGAATTTAGCAGATAAATTGCTATTTTATAGCAATTATGATACATTCCCCCATGAAATCTCAGTGGTTTTCTCCAGAGAGCTAGCATCTCTCCAGAAGAGGTATAGATCATCCTCCTTCCATAAGCACAAAATCAATGGGACTGGTGGTATACTCATGCACTGAGAGAAAAATACACTGTGAGTGTCCTTAGCCAGGACTGGCAAGTCCAGGGTATATTGATTTCTTTGTTTTAACAGATGATATTTTCTTCTCCACTGTCATCGTTCAAAGCCACCTCTTCTCACTGCAGGCTTTCAGGCTAATTCTTTCCACAAGAAAGTGTTTCCCACACCTCTAAACATTCTCACCAGGACCTTTGCCATCAGCTTTGCTAACTGGTAAAGCAAAGCACTCGCTAGCTACTATTCACTTCAGCCAACTGATGTGAAGGAAAAATCTACTAAAGGAAGAAGAGGGCTGAAAATTTGCTGCCTTCATCACTAATGAGATTGCTTGAGGGGAAAACCTGGATCATCTACACTGACACTGCAGCAATTCAGGGGAATATCTATGAGATACTCAAATAAGCAGAAAGGTCTTATTGCAGTGATGTTGAAAACAAAAATTAATCTCAAGCAGAGAAGAAAAGCCTAAATAAACAATTTAAGAGACACACAAGTCATCCTCCATTAAAATTCATTTGGAGGTGAACACCTACATTCTTTTTTACTCTGCTCAACAGAACTGCAGTGCTTGGTGGGAAAAAGGTGGGCATGCAGAGAACTCTGTGAACAATGTATCCTGTACTCTGGTAGCACCACACTGACACACAAGAGCAATTCCCATTGCCTAATTAAATCCTAAGCTCTAGACCACAGTTTATTGCTCCCCAACAAAAGAGCACATTTTATTCTAAAGAACTCTCTCTCCTGAAAGCTCCAATATGCATTTTTTTCCTGTCTTTGGATTGTTTTACTGTCTGGAGCTAGTCCATTTCCTCATCCACATAGGAATGAGATTTTACAGTACAGTCAGTTTCATGCATCACTTCACTGCTGTGACTAAAATGTAACCGAGCCTTGGTGTGATTGGTGTGAAATCCAGCTGCTTTACTTATCAAGCACTGAAACCACTGGAGTCCTTAATTTAAAACTAGAACTAAAAGGTTCTTTAGACTGGATGAAAATAATTCCTAAGTATTATTGCAGAATGTCTGCATCAGAGACAGCTTAAAAATAAGGCAAACATAAAAGAGATGCACTGGAGCACTAAACTGGATACTTGGGGCCCAGTGTTTACCCCTTCCTTCCCTTAAATCCACTGATTAAAACCATCCTCATTTCACATAGCTTTATGGTATGTGTTTACCTTGAAGCAGTCATCAAAATATTCTGTGATTCTATGATCTTAATCAGAGATAGCCACTGAAATCAGAGATGGCAGCTAATGCCATGTTTTATTCTGAAAAAGGGAGGCCTTAAAGACTGAGGAGAAAACCTCTGCTGATGATCACTGATTAATTTTAAAAAGACAGGTGGTCTGTCAGGGTTGCTTTTAACACTTTGTCTGCTTCAAATTCACATATGGTTTCAACATCATCATATCTGATCATTCTACACCTTTTTCATGCATCAGTCACGGAGTAGAGCTAAGGTGTAAGAGATGGTAGCCACCTTGCCATGGTATTCCTATACTGCATGTCAAAGTCATCTACAAGCAAGGCAAGGAGGATTTGGGCAGCTGCAGACTGGTCAGCCTATGATAAAATTAAGGGGCAAATCCTTCTTGGAAGCAATGCCCAGACACATGACAGACAAGGGGGTGACTGGGAACATCCAGAATAGATTTAACAAGACCAACCTCAGAGCTGGCTATGACGAGACATCTGTCTTGCTGGATGAGGTGAAAGCAGCAGAGGCATCTGCGTGATCCACAGCACCCTTGCAGACAGATATCTGAGATATTATGGAATAGGTGGACTACAAATTCAGTAGATAAGTGGATTATCTGAAAGACTTGATGAAAATGGTCAGCAATTCCAAGTACAACTGGTAGCTGGTTAATATTTGTGTTCCCCACAGGGTAATGCTGGGGTCAATACTGCTAAAGATCTGCAGGTAAACTAGAGGCACTGTAAAAGCCATCAAAGACATTCAGAGCAGTGCTGTACGTGACTGAAACTATGGTGTGGCTGAACTTGAGTTGGAAAATTCACAAATAAGCTGGAGAGGGACCTTGTACAAGGGCAAGTAGTGATAGGACAAGGGGACATTATTTCATACTGAAAAGAGGTAGGTTTAGATTAGATATTAGGAAGAAATTCTTTAATGTGATGCTGGTGAGACGCTGGAAAAGGTTATCCAGAGAGGCTGTGGATGCCCCATCCCTGTAAGTGTTCCAGGTTGGATAGGTTTTGAGCTACCTGGTCTGGTGCGAGGAGTCTCTGTCCACAGCAATGGCATTGGAACTAGATGATCTCTAAGGTCCCTTCCAATCCAAACCATTCAGTGTTTCTATGACCTCAACAATGTAACAAAGAACAGTTGGATTACAAAAACAATGATATCCTCACAATTATATGGCAATAACAAATGAAATATAATTTCCCAGTCTCCACTGGTTAAATCATCTAAATGCTCTGACACTGATAAAACAATTCTTCTCCATACCAAATTTTGACCAAACACTGTGGCTTTTAGACTTCAACACATATGGCTGATGGTTTTGACTGTTCCATGCTTAATGATATTAAAATAAACAATTTGTTAAATATACCTGGAAACTTGAGAGCTATCTAAATCCTTCTCATGGGAACTAAGAAGATCTTGGCATTTGCATTTACTGCAGAATCACAGCACCAAGACAAACCTCCTCAATACAGCAGCTATTATTTTAGAGGAATGAGAGAGCAAGATTTCAGTAGGATTATAGCTGTTTTCATGGAAAAAAGGGCAAAATATATAGGCCTATTATGGACTGGCAAACCAATTACCAGCTGTGGTACAGGTCAAGTAGCAAAAGCAGGCCAAACTATTGGACACAGCTTCATTGAAATCAATGAAAAAGAGCAGCTTATTCCAGTGATAAATAACATGCTATAAGTTTCACTAGCATTTTAAAAAAGGGTTTAATAAGAAAATCTTTCACTGCAGTGACCAACAATTACATCGTGTAACATGCGAGGGAAAATCTCATTTGTCACAGAGAGGGAAGGTAGGAATTCAGATCTGAATTAGATTGTGAAATGAAGGAATGTGTGCAGTTTGCATGCAACAGACAACTTGGCTCCTAACTGAAGAAGGGTGGGAGAAATATTCTGGTTTATAAGCACAGGGAATACTTTAAATTATCAGCAATTTAAGAAGTTATTCCATGTACTTGGAATATTCAAATTTGCCATGAGAAGGAGCATTCAGCATTTGTGATGCCTGCACTCCCTGTCTTTTGCAATGAAACTTGCTGGCAGCCATCCCAGAATCTTTCAAAGAACACTGCATGGACGTTTGCAGTAATTTATTGGCCACTGCTTGCAAGCCTCCAAGAAATAACATTAAAATTTTAACTTCTTGCTAGACCGTTTTAAGTAATGGCAATTAAAAACTATTGTTAAG